TATTCAGGATGTACATTAGTTGAGGGGGAAAAAAAAGTTGATTGCAAATTCAATGGAAGATAAGGACTTTTGGAAAGTATCTTTAAACTTGCCCTAAGGCAATATTAATAAAGTGAAGGGGCACACGTCTTTTATGTTTCTTTTTTAAAATAAGGTTTCTTTTATATGAAGGGTTTGCATTGGGCCACACCCAGCAGTGATCAGGGCTTACTCCAGGCTCTGTACTCTGTGATCACTCCCGTGGTGCTGGTATGAGGGGGCATATGTGGTGCCTGGGATCAAATCCTGGTCCCACAGTGTAAGGCAAGCGCCTTACCCCCTCTACTATCTCTACAGCCCAGAATTCTTAATGGGGTCTGATGACATGTCCCTTTGCTTTCAGAAAAGTGCTGACCTTTCATGTCAAGTGGCATCTAATGTCTCAAACCTGAGGTTGGCAAGTTCCTGGACCTGACTTGGAGAGTAGATGAAGTTGCCCCTTCCCCCCAGGTTGCTCATCTACCTTCATCCCTCTCACCCAGTCTGGCCTCACCTTTGACCACTCAGCAGGGCAGAGCTGAACCCAATGAGCATCAAAGCCCTAGCTTTTGGCTGGGGGAACTGCCAGGGTGCCCAACACCGGCTGGTTGGGCCTGTGAACCCTTCCAAGTACCTTAGCTGAAACCGGCACAGGTTCCCAAAGCCAAGGAAATGAGGCGACAGGGGAAGTGGGGGAGAAAGATTCAGAGAGGGGCTAGAAAGGGAGGGAGAGGGAGAGAGATGGAGAAGAGTGAAAGAGACAGGAGAGAGTGAAAGAGAGACTGAGTCAAAGAGAATGAGAATGACAGAAAAGGGAAAGAGAGGAAGAAGGTGAGGTTGAGATAAGAAGGAGGAGGAATAGGCACAACATTTTTTTGGTTTGTTTTTTAAAGAGAAACAGACAGAACAAACGTAGGGGGTCGGGAAACATAGAGCACCCAGAGCAAGAAAATAGTCCCTATAGCCCACTTCCCACCCCACCCCCAGCCCCGTTTCCCCTCCAATTTGAGTTTCCTCGCGGCGGTGTCTCTCAGTTGCGCTTTGCTGTCTCTGCTAGCTCCCTGGCCCGACCGGAACAATGCCGAGACTGTATTTGGGGAACCGCACTGGGCGGCGGGGTTTGCAGCAGCGAGCGGAGCTGGCCGCCCGCGGCTCTGTTTGTCCAGGTGTGGGCGGAGGGCGGCGGTGTAGGGCGCGGGGCTCTGCGGATGCCCGGAGGAAGCCGGAGACCGAGCTCGCGCGCTCCCCGCCAGCGGGAGAAAGCCCCCTCCCGCCACCCCAAAACATATTCGGGGAACAGACAAATCTCCATTGTTTAAAAATAAGGCGAGGAGCCCGCTGGCTCCCCTCGGCCGGGCTCAGCGAAGCTGAAAGGACCCAAGGAGGGAGAGAGGGAGGCGGGGGCCGCGCGGATCCGGTGTCACGTTGCAGATTCCCACTAAAGATAACGAAACGTGATCTATTTTTCAGAACAGCAAGTGGATGGGAAAGAACCTTGACAACACAAAACTCATTTACTAATGGACTGGTTTTGGGTTTCTCTTCTTTGGGTCCGCAAATCGCTCTGTCGGAGCCCTTGGCCTATTCAAACCCGGCCGGGTGCGGGAGCGGCGTCGTGGGGAGGCAGGTGGGCGCGGCCCCGCGCGGCTACGGGAGCCTGGACAGAGGGTCGAGGGCATCTGGAGTTTCCAGCCGAGCCAAGGGAGAAAAGATGAATGTTGTCATTTCAGCCAGAATTTGAGGAGTCTCCTCACTGTCCCGGAATCGATGACACCAATTCGTTGAAGAAACACCTCCCGATGCCCTTCCCTGCCACCTATCTCTAGGTAGAGCAGGGCTGGAGATCTTCAGAGCAAAGGCATTCTGAGAAGGCGGGCCGGGAGCCCCAATCCATCTCTCTCCAGGCTAGAAAGGGAAACAAGTGGGTCCTAGCCAGCGGCTTTTGACCTAGGGCCTTAAGAATTTATCTGAACAATCCCAGGAGAAACTCGAGTCTCCGCATTTTCCAGATTAGTTAGGAGCACCGGCTGTTACCTGCACCGGGCCAGTGAAGACCCGAAACCTGGCGTCCGGCGTCGCGGACCACTCGCTTTTCCCGCGGGGGCCGTGATGCAGCGAGGGCAGCAGCTAGAATTGCTTATTCCTTTTAAATCTCCGACGCATCTCTGCTTTTCGTGTGATTTGCATTGACAGCAAAGGTTTTAAGTTACTAGAACAACTCAGACCTTTCTGTATGCGATTTAAAATGGATCATTTGGCTTATGTGGTTTGTAAATTCATGTCATTTTACCTCTTTTAGTGGTTTTCAGTGAAAGGTTCCATTTGGGGAAACCTTATATATGCTAAGCAATAATTAACATTTATAACAATTGGTTCCCATAACCAAGTGATCGAAATAGCAGGTAGGCTTGTCTGTATGAAACGAATAGCACTTTTCCTTTCTAGTTAAGGGATCTATCTGTTGGATTAAACACCAGGAGAAAGGCAGGCGGGCCAGGAATGGCCTCCCAGTCTAGCTTCATTGCTCATCAACCTCAGTGTTCACTGGCACACCATCCCAGGGATGTCTTTTCGGTTGTCGCCAATGTCTAGTATGTACTGGTTCCTTTTGAAGAAAGATGAAAGAAATGGTCTGGGAGGTCTAGAGGAATGGATGGAGGGGGAGGAGGTTGGATTGGTATCTAATTGCCATCTCTCTGCTCCCTGTCATTCTCTGTAAATTTATACCTGCCCTTATTTGTCCTAGCTATGCCTCATTTCCTTATACAAAATTGTTAATTATAAAGCACATCCCACACTCAACTTACTGGTTGTCTTTTAAGAGATTTAGAGAGTTAATAGACACCCCCACTCTCACCCCACCCCCATTGTCAGTATGCGCACTTGCTCCAGACTTTAGGGTATGGACTGATTTTCAAGAGCCCAGTTTAAGTCTCCGTTCCGGTCCTCACACAGCTGCCATGTCAATAAGAACTGTTCCAAGAGGAGACATTCCTCCTGGCAGGACTTAGTTGACTTCATGTGAAACACTGTGAGCACCAAAATAAGACGAGGGAAAATTACCAGACATATGGACTTGAACTCAGCCGTGCTAGACTTCCAGTTTAGAAAGTGAGTCTATGAGCACACTGTGTGGTATCTTTTGAAATAATGTGCACTCATTATATGCATTTAAAATGCCTAAACTTAATGAAAGATCTGCATCTGTCTCCAAGGTCTAAGTGCACGGCATAGTGCAAAAAGCATTCTGTGGGAATTCAGAGAAGGAGCTTCGCTGTCGGCTTGGAATCTCCTGAGAAGCAGATAGGATGTGAAAACCTTCTGAGTTTAAAATGTACACTGCAGGGTGCACTGGACTGGGTACATTATTTTAAACCATATAAATAATATAAGGGGAAACCCGCATGGTGCTTCTCCACCCACTTATATCTCAATATGCAAATGGTTTCTGTGGTGCGGGGGCACTGGCTGATGGAATCAAAACATTTAAAGAAGACAAGCAAGTTTAAAGAGCCTAGAGTTTGTTCTTTGCATTCACTAAGAGGGCACATTTAAATCAAAAGCATTTTTGAAGTGTACTTAAAATTTTGTTTTGAACTTATCTAATCAGAGATAAGTGTAGTCATAAAGTCACTCTTCTTCCACCACTCAGCTTCCTTTATCTCCTAGCATTGTTCTTATCTCCTACCAGTCTCTGCTACAGACAATAGATTATCTTTGTTTAGAGACCCTAATTGTTTCCAAAATCTTCTTAATAATTGCTTTGAAACAAGGTGTGCAAATGAGGCTTAAGATAATAACAGCTTCATTTGTTTGTGCAGTTTTACTAAGCATTCTCCACACTTACACCAAATAACAGATGATGGTAATGAAATTGCAGGACATCTCTCATTCCCTGGGAGTAAAATAGGCCAGCATTGCAACACACACGTACACACCTCTTTATTTAATCTTCTTGGAGCCCATGTCGCCTGGGCTTTGAGGGCAGTGTCCCTCTCAGATCAGTCCAAGGATTAGGTTACAAGCAGACTGCTTTTGGAGCCGGACACAGTTTTATTTAATTTACACCCCATCCAGAATCTTTCATATGAGGTTCCCAAAACATTTTTGTTAACAGCCAAGGAAAGCTTCTTGACAGTCCTCAATAGCAGAGGTGGCCTTGAATACACAGCCCCGCACATGGGGAAACTGAGTCTGGGAAGGAATCTGCAGGCTTAAGCCATAGAACGTTGACACCAAGTCACAAATGAACTTTTGCAATCTTATCTGCTCAACAGTTATGCTCCAAAGTCTTCGAGGTTCCAAATTGTCGCGGCCTTTTAAGAATGCGGGAAGCGTTATCCAGTAGCTCCGTGGAAGACGGCGAAGCGTGGTGCAGCTCGTTAGGGGTTAGGAGGCAGGAGGTTAGGTTTGACCCCTGGAGCCCGAGTCAGTCCAGAGAGAAGCCACTCTTCGAGTAGCTGCAGCCTGGGGCCCTGGACTGATCTTGCATTATTTATCGTGCTCCATAAGCTATTCATCAATCCATTATTTATTCATTCCAACATTAAGGTAATTAAATATGAGCTCACCGGGAAAGGGCAAGTCTGCAAGGAAGGGGACAAGGGTAGGAAGGGAGAGGAAGGGACCTAGGTCTGGAGTCATTGATTTGTGCAGAGATGTGAGCTGCTGCCCTTAGGTAACACTGGCCAGGGGGCTCACGTTGCAGGGTCCTGACGCGCTCTCCCACTCCCACTCCCCCCCCTCAACCTCTCTCCCTGCGTCTCCAGGTTCTCCTCCCACCACTCCCTGTACCCGGGCTGCAAAGGCTCACCCTCCCCGCGCTGGGCGGCGCGGCCTCTCTGCCGGGTCTGGCGGCTCCCGGGCTGGCCGGCCCCGGATAGGCGCCGCCTGCAGCCAATCAGCGCACGGGGGACTCTGCGCGCTTTAAGGCCGCTGCAGGGAGAACAGAAACCAAGTTCCCCGGCAACGAGCAGCATCCACCGGGCGAGAGGCCGGAGCCTACGAGGGAGGCCCGTAAGGCGGCGGAGCTCGGTGTTTTTTCGCGAGCCCCACTCTTAATCATCCTCTTCCTCGGCTGTCCGTCCCCAAGTCTCGGCTGGCCCTTTCGCCGACGCAAGGCCGAGGGAGGGGGCTAGAAGTAGCCGCCCTCCCCTCCCGAGGCAGCCACCCCCTGCTTTTCGGCTTTGCTCCCTGACGCGTGCGCCCGGGCAGTGCGCCCCGGCAGGCCCCAGCCATGTCCATGCTGCCGTCGTTCGGCTTTACGCAGGAGCAAGTGGCGTGCGTGTGCGAGGTTCTGCAGCAGGGCGGGAACCTGGAACGCCTGGGCAGGTTCCTGTGGTCGCTCCCCGCCTGTGACCACCTGCACAAGAACGAAAGCGTGCTCAAGGCGAAGGCTGTGGTCGCCTTCCACCGTGGCAACTTCCGCGAGCTCTACAAGATCCTAGAGAGCCACCAGTTCTCGCCGCACAACCACCCGAAGCTGCAGCAACTGTGGCTGAAGGCGCACTACGTGGAGGCCGAGAAGCTGCGCGGCCGACCCCTGGGCGCCGTGGGCAAATATCGGGTGCGCCGAAAATTCCCGCTGCCGCGCACGATCTGGGACGGCGAGGAGACCAGCTACTGCTTCAAGGAGAAGTCGCGGGGCGTGCTGCGGGAGTGGTACGCGCACAACCCCTACCCATCGCCGCGGGAGAAGCGGGAGCTGGCCGAGGCCACCGGCCTCACCACCACCCAGGTCAGCAACTGGTTTAAGAACCGGAGGCAAAGAGACCGGGCCGCCGAGGCCAAGGAAAGGTACGCGGCGCGCTCCCAGCTGCTCGGGTGACCCCCCGGAGCCTTCCTCTCCCTTCCTTTCCTTCCCGCCTCCCGCAGGCACTGACCGGAGCCGCTCCACGGGGCGGCGCCCCGGGCCACCCGGACACTTGCGAAAGTTCACAAACTCTGCGATCACGCGTTAGGGCCGGGGACGCATTGGATTTGAGCGGCCGTGCGTGGGTTCTTGGGGGGTGCGTGTCGGGGAACGCGGGATCTGGGTCTGTTTTCTGGAAGCCTTGCTGGCAGGCTGGGGCAAGGACCAGGCGCGTAGAGTGTTTCTCGCGTAAGTACAGGGGAAGCGGGGCTTGGTATCGCGAGGAAAAGGGTTCGGTGGGGCTGAGGCTCGCGTACCCCCCCTCCGTTGACTTCCCTAGAGGGGTAGAGCTGGCCGGGGACATCCGCTCCCCGTTTCTCACACGCTCGCTTTGGGCAGCCTTGGGAGCGAAGAGCTCGCCGCCTTTTTCCTCCCCGGGAGCTGAATCTTGGGAGACGTAATTCCCAGGAGAGGGTGCTTTAGGGGAGTGGGCTCTGTATCCCCAGAGCCCAGCATCCAGAAAAGATCTTTTCTACTCCGCTCCTTCGCTCGCTGCCGGGCTGTCCGCACCCCCGCTCGGAACGAGGTAGCCGGTCGCAGGCTTTGCGCGCCTCGGAGCTCGGAATCCGTTTGGGATCCTGCGTCCGCCTCCGACCTGCCCGCGCCCCCCACCCAGGCCACCTGGCCCCGCTCCATCCTCTCCCTCTGGAGTGTCCGACTGAGATTGGGCAGAGCTTGGAGGAGGCGGCCGCGGCGCCGCGGGCACACTGGGAGGCCGGAGAGTTGGGGGGACCCTGCGTTTCCCGGGGCAGACCGGCCTGCGTCTCTGAGCCTTGGCACCAAAGATGTGGCCTCTGCACTTCGCCCTGGGTTGGAAAAGCACACAGTCTGGCTAGAATGAGTTAAAATGGGCTTTCTGGAAGAGCTAGAAAGACCGTGAGGGGCGGGGAGCAAAACGGGGAGACTGGCTGGCGCTAGGGGAGGGGAGGACCGGCTCTCCGCAGGCGGAAGCGGCGCGGGCTTGGCAGTCTCCCCGCACCCGATGCGGGACGGACGCCCGGGCGCTCTTAGCCCGCTATGCGGGCTTCTCCTGGGGTGCACGGGGGTGTTTCCCCAGGGGACTCAGAGAAGGGGCCGTGAGAGACTTAAAAACTGAGCCAGTAGCACGGGGACAGGACAGCTCGGTTCCAGTTAGACTTGGGTTACAAAACACCCGTCCTATAAGCCGGGCCCAAGGGCCCGCTCCCTGGTGAAATCCGAGAGACTGGCCGCGCTCCCTGTGTTTACTCAGGTCACTGGGCCGCTCCGGACACCACTTCCCATGACCTGTCCTGGGTCTCCGAAACCACAACCTCCGGCAGGGGCAGGGAAACTGGACATTTAATTGTTTCCTCAGATGGGAACCGGGCAATTGACTCGACTCACCCCAAACATCTGCACTGGCCTCTGTTTGTTCCCTCATCATTATCTTCATCAGCAGCAACCATTTGTCGGTAGATTTTCACACTTAGTTACTGTCCATTGCGGTACTGGTTCCTAAGTATTTGAAAATAACGCTGGAGCAGTGGGGTGGGGACGGAATACAGCTACTGGAAACAAAATTGTTAAAAGTATTGTTTGTATCTTTCAAATATGCCCTGATGGTCTGACGTTCTGAAATCTGGGAGTGGAAAGAATGCCTCCTAGGAAGGCTGGCCATAGCTCTCCATTTCTCCTCTGCTCTCCACTACCCCCACCAGCCCCTGGGGGGATGGGGGCAGCGGTGCTCCATTTGGGTGATGACTGATTGCGGGAAGACTCCTTCCAACACCCCTGCCGCCATCTGACACTTTTTTTTAACCTACTTTTTTTTTTTTTAACCATATGGTGTTGTCCTCTATTTCGTAGGGAGAACACCGAAAACAATAACTCCTCCTCCAACAAGCAGAATCAACTCTCTCCTCTGGAAGGGGGCAAGCCGCTCATGTCCAGCTCTGAAGAAGAATTCTCACCTCCCCAAAGTCCAGACCAGAACTCGGTTCTTCTGCTGCAGGGCAATATGGGCCACACCAGGAGCTCAAACTATTCTCTCCCCGGGTTAACAGCCTCGCAGCCCAGCCATGGCCTACAAGCCCACCAGCATCAGCTCCAGGACTCCCTGCTCGGCCCCCTCACCTCCAGTTTGGTGGACTTGGGGTCCTAAAAGGGAAGGGACTGGTGCCTTGAAATGCCAACTAGGAACACTTGTAAATAGAAATCAGGAACATGTTTTGCAGCTTGTTTCTGGGGTTCTTTGCGCATAAAGAAACGATGGACTTTCACAGATATCTTTTAAAACTCAAAACCAACAAAGATCTGAAGCTTATCTGCCCTCCTCTCTCCGACTGCTCCCATTTTACATTTCCCCTTCCAGTGCAGAGATGGGTGGGGGAGAACCCTAATAAACAAAAGCATACAGTCACCCAGTCCTGATTCTGGGCAACCCCGATACCTGCTTCATACCCTTTCTGCCTTCCTTTCTTCTTTTCTTTATTTCTTCAGTGAATGAGGATTACAAATCAACTGGATTTAAATTATTTTGAAAAATTTATTTTTGGGAAAATGTTTTGGGAAGAGGAACAGGAAATGAAAGAGATAGAGTTTGAGTGAGAAGTGAAATAGTGACAAGAGCTTCCAGCTTGGTAGGAATTGGTTACATTCTTAAGGTGAAGAGGAAAAAATATTTTGAAACTTTTCTTTGGTGGGTAAAATTAAGTTTACATTTTTCATATTTAGTGTTAAATAACATTGCGTAGATTAAAATGAAAGAACAGTATTAGGGGAAAACAAGTGCCTAAATGTCTTAATGCTCTCTAAGTGAGGCAATTAGAAATACAAGTGACCGTTGGTAATATGACTATTTTTGTCCAATTTAGTGAGGGTTTTTTGTTTTGTTTTGTTTTCTATTTTAAATGGCAAACTTTTAAAATGTACTAGTGTGAAAAAGACACCTTCATGGATGCCATTACTTCTCATACCCTCCAAGCTTTCAGATCTGTAGCCTCCTCCTATTAAGGATTTCTCCTCTTTCTAATTTCTAGCTTGCAAGAATATGCGACAAATCTGGCAATCTGGTCTTTGTTACTAAAACAGCATGTGTTTTCAGGTTTCTTTTCTATTGTACCTAAACCAGTCTAAATTAAAACTTCGTAGAACACCGGGAGTACGATTCTCTTTCTGGAAGGTGAGTTGTGTATTGCTGTCATTGGGCCATATTTTTCTTTTTTAAGTAGTTTCTCACATTCTTATTAAATGGTGGTTTTGAACTGCAGGGTACTTTAAAGGCCATCACCTCTACTAAAGTGACTGAGTTCATTATATGACAGAAAAGGAGTGATTTAGCTTTAGGATATTTATTTTTTTATTATTGGATATGTAGTTTTGTTTACCATTAGTTCTTGAACTCCAAGGCATTCATATGTTAACTCAGCTCTTTTGTATTAACACGTTTGTAACAAGACTGTGAAAGTAATTTATCTGCTTTAACCAAAAAGGGAACTAGAACAAGGATACCAACATTGTGGATTAATCTGTACAAATAGCAGACCAGCAGAATAGGAGCTCTCGGTGGTACTGCCAAATAGTGTCCAGGAAAATCCTAGCAGTGATATAGGTTCCATATTATTTTTGCCTGGGGCAAAAATGATGTATCTTTCTTGTATTTAGTTTTAAAAATTAGTGAAACAAATGGCATTATTTATTAAAATTCTACTCAGGATAACAGGATTGGCTTTCTTGTGCTTTGTAAAATATTGTTCCCCAGGGAGAGAGAGTCTATTTATTTTCAGACATGACAGTTTCATAATTTTGATTTTTTCCATCCATAAGTGTCACCATCAATATTTCTTTTTACTCTTTTCCTGTCTCTCCTGTCCTGATCTAGGACTCTGTGTGTATCTGTGCGAGTGTGGTGGGCAATTTTATATGTACACACTTATATATGTCAAATAGTTGACTGAGTTCATGGGAGAAAGGGTCACTGTACTTAAACTGTAGTCACTTTTACTTATAAAGTCTTTTTCTTTTGCCCAGTGATGGACAGATGTGCACACAGCCGCTCAGAGACTGTCATTTGGATTGGGAGCTTAGGGTCCCAGTCTCCCTTGTTAGTGTTTTGGATCATTAAGTTGGTGTTTATTTAAGTCACTAGGGTGTTTATTCTCCACGTCTTGGGCCACGGAGAAATGCCACCCTCTGCAGGAGGGGCTCTCACAGGGGATCTCTGCACATTCTTCACATTCACTCCCCAAAACAAACACCCTACACAAAGATAGCTTTCAATGACCCTGACAGGCTTCAAAGGGCACCGCGGAAATCTCTCTGGAAAATAAGGAAGGGCCAATTACTTTAATTTCTTACATGCCCTCTCTTCCTTCTCTGATGACTACCCCCCCCCCCCACTCATCCAGTTCTGCTTAGTATAATTTTAGACTCGATGAAGTTCTGTCTCAGTGGACGCCCTGGCCCACTTCCTGCTCCCTCTTGGTGAATCTTGGAAAAATCCGCAGATCTGGCGAGAGGCAGAGCGGTCGGTCCTGTAAAAGTCCCTGTGATTATTGCTTGTAAACTCGTTAAAAGGACAATTTTCTGTCACAGCCATAAACTCTTTGTAAAACCTCTGGCACTGGAACCAAAACGCGCATATTCCAGATGTGTTTAATAAGAAATTGCACAAGCCGCCTCCCTCCGACGTGCTCTGCGTAGCCTGGCTCAACCGGGGACAAGGAGGAGGAGGCGAGAAAGCTGGATATTGCTTCGAATTTTCTTGGCACTCATCTTGGTGCGATCATTAGGGAGAACTACCCATACATAATTCCCCCTCACGGAAATCTTCGAGGACCAGCTGTTAAGAGACCTCTAACTTACCTTCTCCACTGCGGTCTCAGTTTAACTAAATCAAAAGTCACTCTAAAGTTTATCGTCAGATTTCGTAAGTATAGCCAAAAGCAATGGACAGTTGCTTGTAAATAGTGTTTTGGGGATGAAATCTTGCAGCCTTTAGCCAAATAAAATGAAAAAAACAAAATACAAGGGTGGGATTTTTGGGTTGGATTTTTTTTTTTGCATATTTTAAATCTGAACACCATTTTTTATATCCCTGCCGCCTGTATGACTTGTCTTGCTGGCTGAGAACAAAAGTTCCTAATTTTGCGAGGCTGAGGGATTCGGCTGGCGATTCTTGCTTGACTTTTGGGCTTAGAAGGTAGAAACCCCTGGGCCCCTAAGGCCACACAAGCTGCGGGGTAGGGAGGAAGTCGCCGCTGAGTTCTGGTCTTGAACCTATTTTTCGGGCAAGGACAGCTTGGTCTTGACCCAGCGCCTAAGTAGGGAGTTTCCAGGAAGCGCCAGTGGCATTGGTGCTTATTGCGGAACCCTGAAATTGCCGAGCAGGGACCGCTTGGGCCACGCAACCTGAGGACCTGAACCCGAACCCGAACCCCCGGCGGATTCTCTTGTCTGCGCTGCCGACCCAGCCGCGGCATCTGCGACCCAAGGGGCGTCGTTCCTGCCGCCTCCCCTGCCTGGAGGCCTCTGGCCAAGCCTGCAGACTGCATTACGGAGTTGGGAATCCAGAGGCGTCTGTTTTGCAAGTCCCGGCTACAGAAAACTTGGGAAGTTCCTTCTGCCACTCGCAGACGTGCGACTCGCCCCTCGCCAGGCGTGGGGAACTTGGGGCGCCGCTGTTGCCCACTCCCGGTGCTGGCCGGGAGGCAGCCAGGCTGGCCTCGAAGGGTTCCACGGGGGAGGAGGCGGTCGCCTAGCCGGAGGGATGTGCGGCCACCATCTTCTGCGCTCTGATACATCTCCTAGGCCTGGTCCAGTATCCTGCAGAGCTAAGGAGCTACGTGCAGGGCGAGGCAAGTGATCTGCGCCGGGTGCAGGGCCGCGGGGTCCGGAAGGGGTCGAGCCGCAGGTGGCAGCGCTCCCTGGCGCTCATGCACCGCACTTTGGGCCCGCGCCGCCTGCTCTGGCCTCTGAGCGCGGCTGGCAGGCGGCCTAGGCCCGGCCTCCCATTGCTCGCTGCTCTGCGGGGTTCGGATGCGCGAGGAGCGGCCCCCCGGCTCCCCGCCACCGTGGCCTTTGCTTTGCGAACGGTGCTTTGCGTTCGACGCAGCGGGGCCTGCCGGGGAGGCTGCGGCTAAACTTAAGTGGCCGAGGTCTAGAGCCCTGGGGCCTAGAAATTTCGGGCAGAAGCACCCTCAGCCCTGATGCTTCTTTGGTGGGGTCCTACTGTAGGGCGTACTCTCGGCTACCTAAACCCGGGCCCCGGGCGCAGCAGGAAGGCTTGGGCTTCCAGCCGGGATGTCTGCACATTCTGCACTTTGGCGGTTGGGTGGAGTTGACAGGAGCAGGTGGGTCAGGGTTAAGTTGAGGAGAGGCGCTTTCTTTCCCATCCCGCAACCCTCCCCGAGAGTAGAGACAAACTTCGGATCTACGAGGCCTGTGCAACCAGTGTTTGCACCTGAGCAGCCATTCACACATCGGGTACCCGAGGGTTTAGTCCCTTAGCCTGCAAGCCTGGGGACGACCGAGCCCCTTGAAGGGCATAAGGACCCCCTCCATCAGTCTGACGGAATCTAAGAACTCCACCTAGAAGATTCTTTAAAGACGGGCCCGAGGCAGCCAGCCAGGAAGAGTCCAAAACACGTTCGAATAGAAGGCTTATCTACCGAGGGGGAAAGAACCCCCAAACGCTTCCCAGCAAGGCCAGACTTTCTCTACTTTTTAAAAACCGAATGAAACACACACACACAACTTCGCTCCCGCTGATGAAATTGGAAACCTCTTCTCCCACTGAGGATGACAATCAGTGTTTCAGACGCTGCGGTCCTTTCAGACAGCGAGAAACAACACTGCAGTAGCCTTTAAAAACAAAGAGAAAGAGACTGCTAGAGGCGCGTGGACGCCTGTCTCGCTCCCAATCTGAGGTTGGGCTACTCTCCTTTTGGCGTTGTGATTGGGTGGTTGAGACCCCAGTTCTCAGAAGCTAGAGCACCTCTGATTCTGGGCTGGATCTCTTCTACTAGTTACTTCCTCCACCCCCTCCTTTCGGGAAGATCCTTGGTAATTGTTTTTTCCTTTGCCATCACTTAAGATCACATTCTTGTCTGTAAACAGGAAAATTCAAAAGCTAGAATTCAAACATCCTTATCTTCGAAGGGCCAAAAAAAAAAAAAAGTTAACTTCAGATATGCTTCTGG